AACATACAATAATAAAAATAGCTTCATGCCAGGGATTTACATGTTTTACCTCAATTACTCTTCCTTTAACTCTAGAAAATTGGTACTGTTGTCCTTATGCTGCAGAACTCAAATCAAGATCATTCCTTTCTTCTTCTTTTTCCTTTGCTGGGGATTGAACCCAGGGCCTTACACATCTTAGGCAAGAAGTATGTCACCAAGCCACATCCCCAGGCATTCCTAGGTCAGTTCTCTTCATTACTTTGCATAACTGCACAAAAAAAAGAGTAGAAATAATACATAGTAAGTATTCAGCACACATTCCTAACTTTGAATGGCAGCAGCTTTTATTAACTACTCGTACAGGGACATTGACCAAACAACTACTGCTAAACTCCAGGCACGGAGCTGGATAATCCCTGAGGCCCCTCTGGTCTACCAAGTCACAGTTTGAGCATATACAGCCATGTTTTGCTTAAGGGGATTTCTAGAAAGAGTGTGGCAGTAACCAAACTCAACTACACAAATAACTCAAGTCTTTCTTTAATCAGAGATTTAGGAACTTTTTAAAAGTAAGGAAGTCTATAGACAAAGATCAGACAAATACAGGGAAAAGAATACAGAACTATTGTGCTATGATAGATTATTTAAAGTTTCCTTTGAGCCTGGGACATGGCCCAGTGGGTAAAAGCACTAGCTGAAAAAGTATGAGGACCAGATTTCAGAGGCCCAGCACCTATGTAAACACTGGGCGTGGCTACAGACCAACAGCCCAGTGCTGGCAGAGCTGGGAAGATAAGAGAATCACTACGGTTCTCTGTCTGGCTAGTAAAAACCCAAAACCAAACCAAACCAAAAAAAAAAACAAAAAAACAAACCAGTGTGTAGCTAGAGTTTTCCTGCCTGGCCCACAGTCAGGACAACTCTCTCTCACCTGCCAGTCCCACAGCCACTCAGACCCAACCAAGTAAACACAGAGACTTATATTGGTTACAAACTGTATGGCCGTGGCAGGCTTCTTGCTAACTGTTCTTACAGCTTAAATTAATCCATTTCCATTAATCTATACCTTGCCACATGGCTCATGGCTTACCGGCATCTTTACGTGCTGTTTCTCATCATGGCGGCTGGCAGTGTCTCTCCCACTCAGCCTTCCACTTCCCAGCTCTATTCTCCTCCTTGTCCCGCCTATACTTCCTGCCTGGCCATGGGCCAATCAGTGATTTATTTATTGACCAATCAGCAACACTCTTGACAAACAGACCATCCCACAGCACCAGTGAGCTCCAGATTCACAGAGAGTACCTTCTCAAGGGGGGTAAGCTGGATAGTGAGACTAGGACACTTGATGTTCTCCTCCATCACACATGTTTGCATAGGTACTCACACTCACACATACACACACACACACACACACACACACACACCCTGCCACCTTGTGTTGGTTTGGTTTTGTCAAGTTGACACAAGTTAGAGTCATTTAGGAACGGAACTTCAACTGAGAAAATGCTTCCATCAGATTGGCCTGTAGGCAAGTCTGCAGGGCATTTTCTTGTTCAATGATTGATATGGGAAGGCAGATGGGAGGATCCCACGGGCCCCACCCTCTGTGGGAGAGGCCACTCCTAGACATGTAGTTGTGGGTTATACAAGAAAGCAGACCAGGCAAACCAGTAAGCTGCATTTCTTCCTGCTTCTGCTTCAATTCTTGCCTCCAGGTTCCTGCATGGAGTCCCTGCCCAAACGTCCCTTCATGATGTGATGTGGAAATGTGAGCTGAAATACACCCTTTCCTCTCCAAGTTGCTTTTAGTCAATAGTGTTTATCACAGCAACAGAAACCTAACTGGGGCACATCCCAAACAAACAAGCAAAAGGCCAAGCCAGTGACCCTAAGAAAATGCTCCCTGTGCCTAGCAGAGTGGTGAACACCTTTAATCCCAGCACTTGTGGTGGGTTTCTGTGAGTTCAAGGCCAGCCTGGTCTACAGAGCAAGTTTCAAGACAGCCAGTGCTACATAGTGAGACCCTGTCTTTCAAACAACAAAAGCTTCCTTTTATATAATTTAATTTATATATACATAAATTCCTCTCTATATAACTTTTATGTAAAGTTGTATAATTTATATAGTGCTACAACAAATAAACACTTTAAAGAAAAGGGAGGCACCTGCCTTGTGTGCTGCCAACTTAAAAAAGAAGTACAGAATCCTTAAAAAAAAAAATCACAATTAGCGACTGAAAGTCCACCATGGAAAAGAAAGAAAGTCAGCAGAAGAAAGGTGCAGAGTGGATGGACCTTAACCTTGGCTTCTCCTAAACTGTTACAGATAACGTAGGAGTCGATCTGCGTCCTGCATGGTGTCATGGTGCTTCCATAGGAAAGCTTTTGGACCATCTGTACTGTCATGAAATACTCCACTTGATTCTCAGGCACTAAATTGAATGTCCGTTCCTCCTTGAATTCCTAAACAGAGCTTTCACCTTCCCTGCAGAGGACTCTGGGGCCCAGGACGGTCTGCTTTCCGCAGGACAGGAGCAGAAGCATCTACAGTTACAAGGACATTTTCTTTGCTTCGGAAACAAGTATTAATGAAAGAGGAAATCTTCGTGTTGTGTAAACCTTACTTCTAGTAGAGATAAATAATCTATGTTTTATGTATTGTGCTTTTTGTTGACATCAAATCAAAGTTATTAACTTCATCTTCATCACTTTCTAGTTCTGGAGGGGTTACTTGCCCTAAGCAAGTGAGCCCCTGAATAACAAGCACCCCAATTCTGCTCTGGAGAAGAGTGCTCACCCTAAGGGTGACCTCATGAACAGCATCCCAGTCCTGCTTCCTAATTAGTCTTTAGTTAGCAGAACAAACTTATAATTCATTTCGGATTCAGAGACCATAGTCACTGTAGAGGTGACAGACCATCCATGTTTCAAGTTCCCGATTACATCACCATCACATCAATGCAAAGATAAAACAGCTTAGAACCTGGAGCTAGATCATCTGGATTCACATCTGTGCTGCCTAGAAAGGGGGAAAACTCAATCAAGAAGAGGCCTCTATAGACGAATTTCTAAATGTTCTTATTAAATAAAAAACACAGAACCAGAAATTTGGGTTAAAGCCTTAGAGAGATCAGGGAAATGCGAAAAGCCACCAGGTAGCCTCACCTCACCAATTCTGCAGCTTCCAAGGAGTGCAACTTCCTGTCTACCCAGACTTATATGCCTTGCTTTTTTGCCCTCTCATTGACTCTTAGCCCAGCTACCTTACTTCCTCTTCCTACACAGCTCTGTCACTGTCTATCTGTCTGTCTATACAGACCTCCAGCTCTCTATGGTTGGTACTGGGATTAAAGGCGTGTGTCATCATGCTTGGTTCTGTTCCCTACTGTGGATTTGAACACATGGAGATCCTGCCTGCTGAGGGATTAAGGGTGTGTGCTGCCTGACTTCTTTGTTTACTTAAAATGGCTGGCCTTTTCCCCCTGATCTCCAGGCAAGCTTTATTTATTAACGCACAAATAAAATATTACCACAGGCCTCCATAAAATCCAGCTGTAAGGCATTTTCTTAATTAGTGATTGATGTGGGAGGGCTCAGCCCAATGTGGGTGGTGCCATCCCTGGGTTAGTGGTCCTGGGTTCTATAAGCTCTTTGGGTCTATGGACAGGCTGAGCAGGCCATGGGGAACAAGCCAGTAAGCAGCACTCCTCCGTGGCCTCTTCACCAGCTCCTGCCTCCAGGTTCCTGCCCCGTTTGGGTTCCTGCCCTGACTCCTTCAGTGAGGATCAGTGATGTGGAAGGGTAAGCCAGACAAACCCTTTCCTCCCCACTTTGCTTTTGGTCATGGTGTTTTACCACAGTAGTAGTAACCCCAACTAGGACAATGTCCTAGCCTTGCAGGCCTCGGATTCCACATCTTCAAAATCTGCCTGTCCACGCAGATACTATAAGCATTAAACATTAAGTGACTTGATGTTCACAGAAAGGCATTGAGGAGCTGGTTTTGTGAGAACAGAGTCTGACACATGAAATGCTAAGTTGCTCATTAAATGTTGCAAGGAGCAAATAGTCGCCCTGTGAAGGGAAGGAACTGAAGTAGAGATGATGCCTGCCACCCTAAGCTTACATTCTAAAGATGGAAAATAAGTTATATAGTTTATCCATCAAGTAAAAAAAAGGGGGGCATAGTGTGTTAGTCAGGGTTCTCTAGAGGAACAGGACTGATAGAATGGATATACCTTACAGAGGGGATTCAGATTGGCTCACATAATCTGGGATGAGTCCAACAATGGCTGTCTGCACCCTGGAGAAGCTGAGCGAAAAAACTAGTACCTGCTCAGTCCGCCAGGACAGATGCCTCAGCAGTTCCCATTCTCTGAAGGCACAGAGGATCCCCACAGAGCCTCCAGTCTTCAATCCATATTACAAGGCCGAAGAATCTTGGTCCTGATGTCAGTGGCTGCAGCAGCAAAGACAGGGTAGACGCAATCACCAGCAAGCAGTGAAGGCAGGCAGGCAACGGCAGCAGCTTTTCCCTATCTGAGCTACCACCAGAGGTGCCGCCCACTCCAGGGGAGAGGGTCGTCTCCCCTAGCTAAGTCCTCCAGGAAATACCCCATTGGCCCACCCAGAGGCATGTCTCTTAGGTGGTCCAATTAAGTTGCTAAACCGTCACACACAGGGTGGAGCCGATATTGCAGTTATAAACAAGGTGGCCAATAATGGCTTCAGTGAAAGGTGGCAATTGAGCAGAGTCTTTAAGGATATGGAGTGTGTGCATGTCTAGGTGTAGCAAAGGGGGGGGGGAAGCTTCCTTCTACCCTCTTAGCTCAGTGACAGGCCTAAGACCTGTGCTAACAAAGCTTGACAGGAGAAAAGTCTGCACATCCATTGAGAATTTTCACACATACGTGGGAATCTTTAGAAGGAAAGAGAAGATCCAAACAAGCCATGAGGTGCAGTAGCTTACATATTATATTTTTCAAACAGGATGTTGTGTGGGGATGCAACAGCACTGAGGGGAAGTCAATTAAAGAGCCATGAGTAGGAAACCGATGTATGAAACCATAGAAAGTGGAGGTTCCATGAAGGCGTGTTTTCACAGTCAGTGCTGGTGATGACTCCAGTCTAAAGATAAGAGTCTTCTCTTCCTGGCACAGGGTAAGTACCTTCCTCATGGAGAAATTTCTGAGTTGTTTTTATGTAGAAAGGGGACACGAGAGCCCCTCTTGGACACACTGCCCCTCAAATGTCTTCACTCCAACAAGTTCCAAGGTGATACAATCTGGCCTGACCTCTCCTGAGTCCCTTCAAGGAGTGTGGTCGTTCCAGACTGAGGGAACTGCAAGTGTAAAGTTCTGAGAAGGGAACAACTGGAGCTAAGTTTTAAATATTGAAGTTCACATGTTGGAACCTTAGTGCCCAAAGCAGTAGTGCTCTGACACAGGACCTTCAAAGGGGCATGAGAACTTGTCTTCATGGTTGGATTAATGCTGTCATTGCTATGGTCAGTATGAATTTCTGATAAATGAATGAGTTTGCCCCTCCCTCCCCATGATCTTTCCTCCATCTCTCTTGCCTTCTTTTATGGGATGATGTGTGAGGAAGACACACACCAGGTACCGGCACCTTGAGATTGATATTCTCAGACTCAAGAACTACAAGAAGCATGTCTTTATCAATTAATCAGTGTATGGGATTCTGTTGTAGCAACAAAAAAGACTAAGTCACTTGGCGTGTGCTGTGGAATAAGCCTCTTATAACTGTAAAGATTTGTCATGCAAATTGGTTTAATAAAACACTGATCGGCCAGTAACCAGGCAAAGAGTATAAGTGGGGTGACTAAGGATGATGGGAAGGAGAAGGGTGGAGTCAGGGGTCACCAGCCAGACACAGAGGAAGCAGGAGATGAATGTGCCATGCTAATAAAGGTACCGCCACATAGCAAAGCATAAATATGGGTTAATTTAAATGTATGAGTTAACTAGCAACAAGCCTGAGCTATGGGCCAAATATTTACTATTCATATTCAGCCTCTGAGTCAGTTATTTGGGATCAGGCAGTTGGGACAGGAAATATCCATTTACGTGCATGTTTACAGGACAGGCAGGAAGCCAGTGTGATTAACACAGAACATGAAGAGTGTGTTGGAGGTCTGGGACTGTAGAAGGCACAGGCCTTCAGCATTTTCCTAACCCCTAGAAGAGCTTCAGATTCTATTCTGAGGACATAGAGGATGCAAAGGTGTCTGAGTGGAGGAGTGACATAATTGCTATGTTTGGAATAAACCAGAAAGATGGGAGAAATGGGAAGAATGTTTAAAAACTGTTATAGCAACACAGGGAAGTGATGGTAGTACTTACAGGTGACCAGAACCGTAAGGGAGTTCACAAAGGGACAATGGATGTGTCTAGCTGACTCAGTTCCATATTCCTCTAGGCACTGCACATGATAGGAATGCAAAAGTTTGTTGAGTGAATGGATAAATGGAGGACTTCTGTGAAGCTTCGTTTCCTTGCCTCTGAAATGGGAGCAAGATTTTACCTCCAAAACTGATTTAGCCGGGTTTCTATCGCTATGGAAAATATGTAATTGAAACATGAAGAACAAAGGTCATAGTCTTAGGATTTCCAGTCTTTGGTCAACTGGTGTGATTGCTTCCAAGTCTATGAGGCAGCACTGTGTGGGAGCAGCATGTAGCTACAGGAACTTCTCTGTGGTGAAGGAGCAAAGAGACAGAAGAGGACAAGATAGGGTCCTCACCCCCTCTGAAGCATGCAGCAGTGACCTGCAGACCTTTGAGGGGGCTTCCAGGTACAGACTCTGCCACCACTCAGTAGTGCTAAGCTGGGGATCGGCACCCCGGCCTTTGGGAGACACTGTCACAGAGGGTTATCGAAGGAATCAAGCAATAGAATTTGCATAACTTAGCACAGTAGCTAAAATGTCAGGCTGAGATGTATATATATTAATAAATATGAGGCCATTTTGGAAGAGTTGCCTTTGCAGAGAAAGAAGAAGGCGAAACTTTGTTCTTCAGTTTAGACACTAAAAATAAACAAAAAGGTACTGGGTTTGTGAGTCACTTTAAACTTCCTTTTGTGCTTTCTACCAGTGTTTGAAATTTTTCAATAATGAATCTGTGGGACGAAGACAGGAATGAAAGGTAAGGTCACTGGAATTTCAGTTTTCAGGCAGCATCAGAGCCGGGAGACTTTCTTCTGCTCTTTTGAGTGTCCCATTTCTCTGGCTCTTTGAATGAGGGTGTCATCCTTATCTCCTCTCCTCCTTCCCTCTCTTTAGTTAAGTGTAAAGTGAGCTTTTGAAGTGGCTATAAAGCAAGAGCAACAACTTCCCTCTCTTAGTTAGGAGGCTCTTATTCCTTCAAAAGAACGAGCAGGGCTGTTTAACGCTTCAGTCCCTTGAGCTGCAGCCATTCATCACTATAACTATATTTGATCTCTCTGAAGTCAAAAGATTTCACTGAGGAAATGGGGCTCTTTGTTGGAATTTACTGAATATCCAAAGAGGGAGGTTCTAAGGCTTCTTAGATGAGGGTACCAAAAGGTGAAGTGATCTGCGCGGTCGGATACAGGGCAAAGGGCAGAAGTCACCAAGGAGGTTGTCTGTCAAACCTCATCTTAAGACCACGTCAGGAATGAGCGATGTGCTGGAAGAAGCCTTAAGATGCACGTGCTCCACGGACAATGGAAAAGTCCTCCCAGCCAGCTGTACACCAGAGACTCCTGGGAAACCAAAACAGCAGCAAAAATGATTTGATTTCTGGTCCTCATCCAAAATGAATTAAATTAAAATCTCATCCTGGTGAATCCTAGATATTGCATCTCCTGTATCCCCTTAGATTTTTCTGGAAGTTTCTCCTATGTGGCCAGAATCAAGAGCCACACTGATGATGAATGCAACAAGATCAATCCTGGAGACCTGGGAAGGCAGAAAACTCAAAGGTGTATAGTGATAGTATCAACAATCATTGTCACAGTGCTATTAGAGCTCTAAATGTGTTAGATATTTGTTTTAGTTACAGTTTCTATTGCAGTGAAAACCATGACCATGGCCATGACCATGGCAACTCTTATAAAGGAAGGCATTTAACTGGGGCCTGGCTTACAGTTTCGAGGTTAGCCCATTATCATCATGGCAGGAAGTATGGTGGCATGCAAGCAGACGTGGTGCTGGAGAGTAGCTGAGAGTTCTACATCTGGATAGGTAGGCAGCAGGGAGAGAGAGACCCTGGGTCTGACTTGAGCACTTGAAACCTCAAAGCTCACCCCCACAGTGACACACTTCTTCTGACAAGACCATAGCTGCTCCAACAAGGCTACATCTCCTAATAGTGCCACTCCCTATGAGCCTATGTGCCTATTTCTGTTTAAATGACCACAATAGTTAATAGAATTTAAAAAAGAAAGAAAAAAAATACGACTGGTCCTGGTATAATAGAAGAGAAAGTTTATTGTAGACACGTGGGAGGGCATAGCCAGAAACAGGGGCATCTGGGGGAGTCCAGAGTGGTCATGACCAGTCTGAACTGTGCCTTGTGAGGAGTATGGGGAGGGGAGAAGGAAGAGAAGGGAACTAGGTGCAGCAGCCAGGAGGCCCAAAGGTTCAAAGAGAGGGCTGGTAACCAAAATGATTGGATTATATAGGGAAGAGCAGCTGTGCTGCAGAGTTCAGAGTAGGGGGTGGGATATGCCAGTCAGGAGGATCCTTTAACAGGGAGGGACTGAGGGATGCAGGGTGAACCTGGGGACCAGGTCCACTTTGTTATGTTAAATAGGCATCTAAGCTATATGTCCTAGGTTTGAAACCTAACAGTTACCATTACTATGAATATACCCATTTAACAGATGAGGAATCCAAGGCACAAACATTACATTATTTTTCAAACATGACAAATGCTGAAGCTGAGAATCTGTGCTCTTCACTGGTGCACTTGCTGCTGCCTGCCATGTAGTAATAGTGAGCTGGGGCCCTGTGTTCTTTATTTAGAGTGTCTGTGCCACAGCATGCAAGTGGAGGTCAGGGGACAACTCGTGGGGTTCGTCCTCTTTCCACGCATGGGTCCTGGGATCAACATTTAGGTCAGCAGGATTGGGGGTGAGTACATTTACCTATCATGTCAGGCCCTCCACCTCTCATTTTAGGAATCATAAATGACTAACCAGTGAGCTGTGATTCCTTTGGGAACCTAACCTGTGGAATAAGCCCTTGGCATGCGTTAGTTTCCTAAGTTTTCCATAATTGCCCATTAATCAGTTAGTTATGTAAGATAAAGTAATAAGATCCCCCTCTCTCCCCACCACGGTCTTCCTTTTGTGACAAATCATTCGTGACTATGTAATCAGCCAGTTGGGGTACTGGAACAGATGGGACATGTTTCTTCCAGAATTTCAAAACTGCAATGATTCCTGTTCAGTCTGGTGACAAATGTCAATTAAAATAGTTCTCCCTTCACAGGAAAAAAATTAGTTTGAAAAAAATATCAACCCTGATTGCCAAGAGCAATTTGTTTCTGCAGTAAAACAAGCAAAAAAGCCAAATTCCCCCAAAACTAGGAACAGCCTAGTTTTTGGAGGGAACGCCACATTTGGGGATTTTTACAAAGTCTTTGTAAAAGTCCCAGTGACCTACGCTTTTAGCATAACAAATGGGTCTTGTCAATGTAGACAAGTCCAGACCCGGCTCCCACGTGGTTCTGTTGACAAAGACAAAAAGATCACTCAGCGGGACACAAATACTGTTTGGAAAAGATGTCTCGTGTTCATTACCACAGGAGAGACCAACATGTAAAAGATTGACTGGACAGCAGCATGAAAGGTTCTCTGATAACACACGTGCTAAGTCCTCTGCGAGATAAACGTAAGCTGAGCACGGTGCATGCACCCGAGGCCAGCACTCAAGGCTGAGGTAAGAGGATTATTAGTTCAAGGCTATCAAAACAGTGAACCCCCTTGAATTTAAAGGCTTATTTATATATTAGGCATTCTTTTTAAAACTTAAAAAAAATCTCTCTGTGTGTGTGTGTGTGTGTGTGTGTGTGTGTGCGCGCGCGCGCGTGCGTGAGTGCATGTGTGTGTGTGTGTGTGTGTGTGTGGTGTGTCTGTATACGCATGTCCAGAGAGAGACCTGAAGAGGGCATTATATTCCTTGGAGCTAGAGTTACAAGTAGTTGTGAACCACCCAACTTGGGTGCTGGGAACCAGACCCAGGTCCTCTGGAAGAGCAGCAAGTGCTCTTAACCACTTAGCCATTGCTCCAGCAGCTTTATACCACCTTTCCATTGGTGTCTTTACCTGTGGTATCAGAAGACAGAACTATAAACAGTACAAATTTGAAAAGACCTTGGGGTGACTGAATAACACCCATGTGCATAAAAGTCAGTTAACTGAAATACTCTTTCTAATCCCAACCCACTCATAATTTCTTACTTGGGGCTATACATAGCAGATGACTGTCTATGTGACTATATATAGACGGATTTCTAAACAGTCTTATTAAATAAGAAACACAGAGCCAAATACGGAGGTAATAGCCAAAGAGATCAGAGAACTAGAGAAGAGTCACAACTACCTTATCTTACCAGCTCGCCACTGTTGCTTCACCAGAGAGCTTCTTCCTGTGAAACCTGTTTTTATTGCCTTTCTGCTCTGCTTCTCATTGGCTCTAAGTCCAGCCACTTGACTTCCTCATCACTGCCTGTCTATACAAACTTCCAGATCTCTATGGTTGGTACTGGGATTAAAGGCTCGTGTCACCACCCTCGGCTGTTTCCTTGACCACACAGAGACTCTGCCTGCCATGTGATCAGATTAAGGGCATGGGCTACCAACGCCTGACTTGTTTCTGGCTCGCTGACCTCTGATCTCCAGGCAACTTTATTTATTAACATACAAATAAAATCTCATTTCAACACAATAAAGATATCACCACAATATATACGTGCATGTATTTGTGAAGGTGTGTGTGTGTGTGTGTGTGTGTGTGTGTGTGTGTGTGTGTGTGTGTGTGTATGTATGTACATGCAAAGCCCAGAGGTCAACCTCAGGCCTGGTTCCTCAGGTCATATCCACCTTGTATTTTGAAACAGGGTCTCCCATTGACCTGGAGCTCACCGAATAGTGATAAAAAAAGGTGTATGAGTGCTAGTGGCAGATTTGACACGCTAATAGTAAGTCATATTAAGGTTTTGTAGCTATTTTGAGGCTAAAAACAGTGACTATTGAACAGCATGAAATCAAGTCTTATCTAAAAATGTCCTGGTTGTTTCCCAAGTAAAGCTAGACATGGTGGTCAAGATCTTGATGTGTTCTGATTGGGCAGAATGAAGTCTTCAGGATTCGGTGAGATAACACGAACCAAAAGTAAAACCCCCATCCTGGAAGTGTGCAGGACAAACATCGGGAGAGTGGCTGGTAGGAACAGCTGGACCCTGCCTGCCTTCCATCTGCTGGTGCCAATGCCCAGTACACTGTGGCACTCAGAGGATGAGATTCCCAGAGTGACTAGCTGATGCCTGTCCTTCACGACTCCTGTAGCCCCTTTTTTAGCTTTGATGCTCATGTCTGTAAGCAACTAGGAACCCATGATCGACAAGGCAGCCACGAGCACATACTCTTGACTCCCCTGTGTCTCACTCACCTGTGCCTCTGTTCCTGTTCTCTCCCCTGTTGGGCCACTGGGAACAGAGCCCATGTCACAATAAAGGGACAGAGGAGCAGTCAGCCTTCTGTTAGTAACAAGCCTTCCCTCTTTATGTCTGTCCCATTGTGTCTCTAACAGGTATTATTGACATGTTAAGAAGAAAAAAACAAATGCTTATTGAGTGCCTCCTGATTGGGGTTAATATAGGCTGATGGCATTAAAGCCAGAGCGCAGGAATGCCATAGCAGACGTGCAGCAACACCTCCCCTTGAGGTAGCCTGGGTGAGATAATCTATGAACGGAGACTAATGGAGAACAGGAAAGTATCAAAGTTTTATCCTAAACGTCATTGGGAGCACACTGGCAAGCTGGACCAGCATACAGGGCTTATAGACAAATCCCAGAGGAGACGGGAGTGGCCTGGGTGGGGGAATCTCTCCCTCCTAAACACAAACTTGGATCTTATAGCCACTCCATGGAATATGAGATTTCAAATGACGACAAGGGGACCTAAGCCCACGTGATGGAAGAGGCATGAGAGAGCACTGTCTCTCTTCTCACCAGATGTTGCCGCTCCAGCTTTCCTTCTGCTCCTGTGACAAAACTCTCTGATCTAAAGCAACATGGGGGAGAAAGGCTTAGTAAAGCTTCCAGTTCCAGGCCACAGTCCACCAACGGGGGGAAGTCCCACCACATGTGCGGTCCAAAGCAAAGAGAAGCAAGCGCATCCACCGGTGCTGCCTGCCTTGTCTTGTTCAAGTTCAGCTCACTTTCTTACTCTCCTATAGGTCAGGGGCCAGCCCATGAGATGGTGCCAATCACATGGAGGGTTGGCCCTCCTACCCCAGGTAACATTCAAGACAATTCCTCAAAGGTATGCCCCTATGCCAGCCTCATCTAGAAGTTCCTTATCGGGGTTGCTTTCTAGGCTGTGTCAGGTTGACAAAACCGCAGCACACTGGCCTTCCCTTCAGGGTGCCATGCACAGCCCCGCCTCACACCGGGGTGCTGGTGCACAGCCCCGCCTCACACCAGAGTGCTGGTGCACAGCCCCGCCTCACACCGGGGTGCTGGTGCACAGCCCCGCCTCACACCAGGGTGCTGGTGCACAGCCCCGCCTCACACCGGGGTGCTGGTGCACAGCCTCGCCTCACACTGGGGTGCCATGGACAGCCCGCCTCACACCAGAGTGCTGGTGCACAGTCCCGCCTCACACTGGGGTGCTGGTGCACAGTCCCGCCTCACACTGGGGTGCTGGTGCACAGCCCCGCCTCACACCGGGGTGCTGGAGCACAGCCCCGCCTCACACCGGGGTGCTGGTGCACAGCCCCGCCTCACACCGGGGTGCTGGTGCACAGTCCCGCCTCACACCGGGGTGCTGGTGCACAGTCCCGCCTCACACCGGGGTGCTGGTGCACAGCCCCGCCTCACACCGGGGTGCTGGTGCACAGCCCCGCCTCACACCGGGGTGCTGGTGCACAGCCCCGCCTCACACCGGGGTGCTGGTGCACAGTCCCGCCTCACACCGGGGTGCTGGTGCACAGCCCCGCCTCACACCGGGGTGCTGGTGCACAGCCCCGCCTCACACTGGGGTGCCGTGGACAGCCCGCCTCACACCAGAGTGCTGGTGCACAGTCCCGCCTCACACTGGGGTGCTGGTGCACAGTCCCGCCTCACACCGGGGTGCCGGTGCACAGCCCCGCCTCACACCGGGGTGCTGGTGCACAGCCCTGCCTCACACCGGGGTGCTGGTGCACAGCCCCGCCTCACACCGGGGTGCTGTGCACAGCCCCGCCTCACACTGGGGTGCCGTGGACAGCCCCGCCTCACACTGGGGTGCTGGTGCTCAGCCCCGCCTCACACCGGGGTGCTGTGCACAGCCCCACTTCACACTAGAGCCCGCCTCACACTGGGGTGCTGTGCACAGCCCCGCCTCACACTAGGCCCTCACTTCTCTGCTGTCCCATCTTACCCTGTCTGCTGCTTTGCAGGGAGCCACTCCCCAAAGGCCCATGGTTTGCCCAGCTACGAAAGTTTCACACTACCCTTTACTCCTGTAAATGGTTAAATGTGATCATGTTATTTTAATGTCTTCATACTCCATGTGCTTGAAGCTAAATATTACATATATGTAAATTTTTTTGTCATAAGACCTGTTGCCACTGTTAAAGATTATAGAGTTCTTTATGCCTGACTTTAAGATGTATAGGTGTTTATGGACACGTATGTAAATATATAGAGACTTTTTAAGTGATTTTTTTAAAAAGCTGCACATCAACTTCTCTTTTTTAATATATGTAAAATGGTCATAACACAACTGATAAAAAATCTGGGATGGAGTGTACATGTTTTGTGTGCTTCGGATCTGATTAAGTTTTGTTAAAGCCCTTCCTGGGGTTCAGCCTTCCCCAGCACGGCTGATCTTCCCATGCCTTCACCCTGGACACTTGAGAGTTCTCCCTGTTCCTCGTTCACTGTGCTGATCTTTGAGTTTACCCATTTCCAAAAGGTCAACCGAAACCCCACATAGATGTTTGCCTCCTCGCACCCTGTGCTGGGTCCACCTGCCTTATCGAATAAACGCCCCCTTTTCACTGAGCACTACTCAGGCTTGTTCATCCAAGGATTCCTACCGTGGCTGTCTACACTTGTTCTACACTTACGCTGTTTTCTGGTGTCTCTGTTGCTGTGTAACAAGGTCAATACATCTCATATATCAGACTTAAGAGATAATACTAGATCTATGGCTGACGATGTCCAGACTGCCACTGCTGAACCCTGTGGTTGTTGAAGCAGTTATTTCCAATGTTGTGTCTATCGGGAGAGCTCCCCAGCCATGTGCAGACAGCTCAGGTCAGAGATTGGAGATGCTGGCCCCACTGGGTCTTCACACTGGGTCTTCACACTGGGTCTTCACACCTGCTCTCTCTCCAGGCCTGGTTTTTCACTGGCTGAGATAGAACGCCCCGCCCCCACCCACCACCACAACTTTGAGACTCCTTTGCCCCCCTCTTTTGTCTGCTTCTGCTACGTGTTCTGGGTCTATCACTGGACTCCACAGCCAGTCCCCTGTCCAGCCTACATCACAGGATTCCTCCCCTTGCTTCTGTGCTCCTTTGGAAAGTGTAACCGTTTGCTGTACTCGGCTATACAGGGGAGACAGTGCTTTTTGTATGGACATAGTGTATAAATTGCCGTGTGCTGTTGCAGCAAACCCAGAAGCTGCTTCAGGAGGAGGGAGTTGGTCCTTTTGCTGCAGACCGAAGTGTATTTTTATCTCAAAGTGTCCTCCAAATTCCCTTTTCCTGGGTTGGGCTGGCCCCTAACTCTGTCACAGGAGGAAAAGAAAACAAGCAAACAGGCAGCAGTAAAAGCTCTGTGCCTTTGAACAAATAAAAGGTAAAGTCGTTCCATAATACAAAACACTTCTAGTGGGAATGTCTGAGAAGTTTATCCACAGGGGGACTCTCTGCCTAAAAATCCTAAGTCCATATCTCCAGCGTCACAATTTTAATGGGGCTCCCTTAGATGATTTCTACTAGCTGCTGAAATCATAAATTTGATGATGTTTTGCTATGTATCTGCCGTTTATCTATCTGCTACTTGTACTCATTCAAAACCAAAAACAGGACTAATGCTTTAGATCATGCAAAACACGAAAACATAAAAAGATCTTTGTGTTTTTTGTGGTATTTGCCTGAGAACTTGCAAAGCCTCATAGTCTAACACTATGTATCCAGGCAACGGTAACTGATTATGTTATGTTATATATGTACTTTATAGTCAACTCTCTTTTAATAAAATGGTAAGGTTATTTGTTTGTGCTACTGTCTCAGTATTAAGAAAGGAAATAAAATAAAAAGGAACCAGTAAGTAGAAAAAAAGAAAGCCGGATGCAGTGGTACACACCTTTAATGCTAGCACTCAGGAGGCAGAGGCAGAGGCTGGTGGATCTCTGTGGCCTACTTAAGTGAGTTTCAGGACAGTCAGAGCTACATACATGTCTCATGGAAGAAGAGAGAGAGAGAAGAGAGAGAGAGAGAGAGAGAGAGAGAGAGAGAGAGAGAGAGAGAGAGAGAGAGAGAGAGGGAGAGAGAGAGAGAGAGAGAGAGGAAGAAAGGAAGAAAGGAAGAAAGAAAAAAAAGTATGGACTGATTTGAGGATGAAGATGAAGATGGCTGAATGTTTTTTCAGAATGGGAAAGAAAAAGGGAAAGTCTTAGCAAATAACAAAAATTACGAGTACATTATATAAGGCATGTAGAAGATGCTAAGCAACGTTTATTTAGAAGTGCTTGGGTTTTGCCTACGTTTTATTAGATGGTACACAGTAGCTAGGAGTGCCAGGGTAGGGTAACTGACTGTCTAGGAGTTCTTAGCCATGCTGGACATATAAACTAATGTGGACAGAGGGATTAAAAGAGAAAATATTTTGCCTCTTGCCCTCCAAGGTCAACTTGGTATCAGGGAACTGTGGGACACCTCTCAGAATGTTCTACATTCTGAGCCACTTGACCTTCTGTTTACGGAGGCCGTGGAGATCCCATCAGGTGGACTCTAACCAGCGGCCACTCTATAAAGAGAAAAGTCAATATGGAGGGAAAACTTCCTCCATGCTTCCAAGTGAAGCCATGATCAGGGAAAGTCTTTGACTTAGCCTCACATAGATGAGCAACTGGTAAAAGAAATTCCAGAAGAGCCAAGGCTGAAGTGATCCCCAAGGCCCAGTCCCTCAGCTGTCCTCAGTGGGAAAGCATAACCAAAATTAAACAATGGGCCAGTCTTTAAAGGCCTCTGTGTGGCTGACTGACACTCTGCATGGGGTAATCGCAGCTACTCAGTTATAATCAAATTAAAGGATTCTCATTCCATTCCTAACCATGAACATAACCCTGTTCATTTATTCTTAGGAATTCTGTTTGTTTTACAAGATCTACAAAATCAGACCATAGCCCATAGAAAACGCCACCACCTTGTAGGTAAACAGCATTGAAAATGAATCTCTGAATTCTCAGAGTGACTGGGTTAAATCTGTTATAACATCAGGGGTGTTAATAGTCACCCCTGAACTCTGCATACTCAACTGCTGTCTTAAATTCATTTGCTCCTGTTTACAAGATAGGCCTGGGACACTCTGTCTATCTTGATATGTACAACTGATCACCCTCCTGAAAACCAGCTAGATTACAGACCCTAAGCCCCTCTATGTCCCCAATGTCAGCCAGAAGCAGTCAGATTGATTTTATGTTCACTCCCTAAATGATTTTAGGGTTTCAGCTGGTCAGGGAAGAATGTTAGGCAGTTAGCTAAATATTATCAGGCTTAGAGGATGTTGAGGAATGCCTCCCTCTTTCACAGAATCCTCTTCCTCCAAAATTGACGTCGGGTAGCTAGACACGTAGCATCCTGGAGGCTGTTGAAGAAGGATCCTCCAAATCACACAAATGTAGCAACCTCTTCCAAAACTTCTGATGTCACAGACTGACCAAGAAACACCCTAATGAGGATGCCAACCACAACCAGCTGGAAAGAATGACATGGGAAACCACTGTGTCACCTTCTCCATCTATTTATAGAAACAAAAGCCAGGAGTATTAGCTATGGCCATGCCATTTTGAAAAGTTCTTCCATTTTTGTTAAATGGCAACAATTTCCCAAGGCCACAGTAATCCCAGAGCTAAAGCCTAGATTCCTGCCTCACATCCCCCTTGTAGACCCCTGACAATGTCTGGCCATAGTAGGTAGAGCCTAAATTCCTGCCCAGAAATCTCCTCTGCAGTTCCCTAATAATGGCTGGCATAAGAGATGCTTATCAGTCCCCTGGCATTTTTTTTTACCCACTGCTCATCAATCTTTGCTTACTTCTAGCAAGGGCCAATCTTGAGTAACAAAATAAAACTTTCCCTCAGCCCATCTTTTCCCTATCACCACACTGGGTTGTAAGCAGACATTAGGCTCCATTTTACAGAGATTCCCCTATTACTCCTCCTGTTCCATCTCAAAACAAACAAATAAACAACTACAACTGGTAGAGAAATAATTTAAACAAGGTGAGATAAAATAACTAGTCAGTGTAGCAAGAATTCCAGAGGTAACCTGCTAAAACATTTTTTAGAGGAAAAATATAGAAAGCTGATAAACATAAAATAATAAATTTTAAAGAGAGGACTAGCTGGATGTTTTATTTATGTTTTTTAATAATAAAAGAATGAAGGGAAGTTGAAAAAATACAAAGGCAGAACATTTTAAAGCAAGTAAAATTATGAGGTTTTTTTTTAACTTAGCAATTAATTTTAGAAACATCATGGAATAATTGCTACAGATAGCTTAGGAGGATTGAGACTGGGCATTTGTGTGAATGAGGATTCCTTTTGTAGAAAAATAATTAGAATAAAAATAATGAGCTCTAGGATGTGCTGAGGCTTTGCGGGAAAAACTGACTATGTAAACCAAAGGAAATATGCCCACCTGATATAATATTGTCAACCTGCTGGGGCTGCTTGGCATCTACAAGCCTTCTGGGAAATTTGAGAAATTGACCCCAGCTTCCTTGGTGATTTCATTCCAGTCATTATACCCTCAAAGGCCATCATGCCAGCACAGGATTACTGTTTGACTGTTTATTCATACATATTTTTGGTGTCTGGCTAGCTCTGAATGCCCATATTTTTCCTCCTTTAATGAGGCTGATTTTTTTTCTTATTTTGAGTGATCATTTCCAGTTTCACCCTTTCCAATCTTTCTCTAATAAATATTTCTTTTTGACTAGTCTGCATGTTTAAAAGAAGATTGGTTGAGCCAAGAATCTGTCGGTTAGGATGTTATTATTTATGGAGAGGAGACATGGGGTAATCGCAGTGACTGACATTTCCTTAAGCATCCTCCTAGCCATTAAAAATGGAGCTGTTGCTGATGATATCTGCAAGTCTGGATTTGGGGGAGGATGTTTCCTGGTAAGGACTAAATCTTTCATTTTAATTCTCCTCTTAGATTCATTCATTTTATAATTAGAGATGCCAGAATTACTGCTAGGTCCAATCTCCACTCAGGGGAAGTTAAGTAGCTTCCTAATATAATTGCCCTGAGGTACACATAAAATCTTCCACCCAGTTGCCACTCTGTCTAAAAGTCAAACATTAGTACTTAACTCCTTGTGTTCTTTCTGTGTTTTAGTCTCTGTCTTAGTAGGTTTCTATTGCTGTGAATAGACACTATGACCACAGCAACTCTTATAAGAAAGCATCTAATTGGGGTTGCTTGCTTATAGTTTCAGAGGTCTAGTCCATTATCATCATGATGTGGAGCATGTCAGACACGGAGCTGGAGGAGTAGCTGAGAGTCCTACATCTTTCAGGCAATAGGAGATGGATGAGACACTGGTCGTTATTTTGAGCACAGAAAAACTCAAAGCCCTCCCCAACAGTGACACACTTCCTCCAACAAGGCCATATCCATTCCAACAAAGACACACCACCTAATAGCTTCACTCCCTGTGAGATTATGGGCGCCAATTACATTCAAACTCCCATAGCCTCCTTTCTGTAAACTTTCTTTATGTGGACATGCTAGGAATACAAAACTCAGAAAAGATTGTTGGTGGTTATTCAGAGTTGTGCTCCCTTATCGTTTGGAAACAGAGCATGATTGAGTTACATCACATGTGCTGTGCATTTGCTGGAAGGGGCACAGTTTGTCAGGGAGAGTAAGAGAAATGAACCATCTCTATATTGTCTTGCATTCAGTATCAAAACTACTCTCAGGAATAGTTTATGCTATTATGTTCATGACTATTACAAAGTAAATGTTAACCCTTCAAATCATCTGAAACAGAGTAAAGGCCCCAAAGCCTTAAATGAAAGAACACAGTCCTTAGCTGGAGTCCGAAGGTGCCATGGTAGCACAAGGGCAGCGACATTCACTCCACCTATCACTCTGGCCCTCACGTGCACACCAGTGCTCATTCACCTCACCTGAGCATAAAGCAGCAGGCTGTGAACTTCTGCACATGAGTGAGAGTGGCAGGTCTGGAGGAATTATCTAGCTTGCTCTCTGGTTCTCTTGTATCACGTGGCCCAACTGGATTCTTGGGCCTCATTCTAATGAAGGGACAGAAGCCAACCCAGTTAAATAGGGCTTTCCAGTTATTTAGATAATTCTGATGTGTTAGTTCATTTGGAATTTTGAGTCTGCCAACAATGTTCAATATTGTTTGTTTTGTAAATGAAGGCACTGAGCAAGAAGGAGACATGGACTGTTTGGTTGTAGACTCTGGGGCTGCTGGCTCTTGGTCCAGTTCTCCAGGCATTATATTCTGCTATTTCCATAACAGAAAGTGCTGTGTCCAGTGATAAACAAGAAAGTCCTAACGTGACTCCTACCAATGAGTCAGATAAGTTACATAAAACGTTCACACATGCCTTTTAGCTGTAGCTTTAATATTTACTCTCTTTATTCTGGAACTAATTTTCCTTAAAAAACATGTTTTCTTCATGCACCAAAAGGCTTTCAGATTTCATTCCAATTAAAAACAGAAAACTTGGGAGTCTGCTTAAAATCAGCAATGTTCACATTGACTCTCTCTTCTTCTCTTTTAATTTAAAAATTTGCATTAGTTTTGCAGAGCTATCTGGGCGAGTGACTTACAACAAGAAGAATCGTAAGCCTGGTTTTAATTTACTCGTGTACATTTTCAAAATTACTGTGCCTGGAGTCTTCCAAGACTGATGTTTTTAATAAGTTGAATGTCATGTTATCAAGATTTGTGGAGCCTGGCTATCATTTGTTCAATATTTTCTTGTGTGTGTATATGTGTGTG